TTTCAGTTTAAAAAACAATAATACTCAAGCCAGTTTGCTTCCTATCAGTTTAGCTATCTCAATGAGGAACAGCTGTAAGCTAAATCGACGTAAGCTGTGTATAAATAGATTGAAGTATGTCTACCTAGGGATTCTGCTTTTATGTGTTGACAAGGATTTTCATTAATCTGCCTCTAAAGAAGAAGACCCAGAGGAAGCTGTGTTGATTTAGAGTCTGTTTATTTCTAATCTCACTCTTTTATAGTCTTTCTTGGCATGATTTAGTATTTATAGGTTTTAAATATTGTGTTTTTCATTGAGAAGGGAAGAGGGTCTGGCACTCTGCTAATGGAATCTTGTGCATAAAAATCAGGATGATGATAAGCAGAGGCAGACACCAAGGAGAGCAGAACAAAAAAGCTGAAGGTGGCAGGGAGAGGGAACCTTATGACATTCAGGTTGAATACTCGAGAGAGAATATGTTATTTTTTACCACTGCTAAAACAAAACAAAAACTCATGAAAGCCAGCCAATATTAATCTGGATAATACAAGTTTGAGTTGGAAGCTTTCTGCAATACACAGCTGGAGGCAGGGAGCGAGACGACACCATCATGAGTCAGTAAAGATCTTTGATGGACTGAATCATTCACAAACTGAATCCAGCCACAGAGTATATAGGGAGTCCTGAGCCAGCTGTCTTCTTGGACCAGGATTTCAAGGAGATCCCTGAAGGTACTGTGACGAGTGCAGAATTTAGTGAGAGAAGAGTAAGGATTGGAAGAGGTTGCACTTAACTGCAAGCCCATGTGGTGGAGAAGGATAAAGAGTAGCCATAAAATTAAAGAAATCTGAGGTCAGTAATATCAAGTTGTTAACCAAGAAAGCATGAGTTTATATGTATGTGAGTTTATGAAAATGGAAGAGATTTCTCAGGAATGAAAAGGAGGGGATGATAAGTGACTGAGTCACAGAAAGGCTAAAAGCAAGGGAAGCCTGTAATCTGGAAAATTGGACAATTTCCCCCAAGATTATGGAAGATTAAAACAAGAAGCTCAAAGGAAATTAATCATTCTTTGTATCATTTAATATCTGACTGCTAAGAAATTCTACGTTATTAGAATTTCTCAACTGCTAAAAATTGACAAGTTAAAAGGCATATAATATAAGATAACTTGCTCTATCTTCTCCTCTCTTTCATAGTCAAATCATTTATATTTGTAATTCTAATAAGAAACCTATGTGTTACGAAATGAAATTGTTTGGTTAATGAAATGTTTGGTTAATTTATCCTATTTCAAGGTGAAGGGACATTCCCTTTGGTGAAATGTCCTGACAGCTGTGAAGCTGGAAGAAATCAGTTACATGATATACAAGATTTTCTAGCATCTTTGCTGTTGATCGTCATTGAAATTAAATGGCTATTACTGAAATTTTTAACATGTCCATCATCTAAATAAGTAGACATCATTACCCAACTCTAGGAGTCCTTCTAGTAAAGGAGTCAACTATTATTCCCGTTGGGATATAACTTGAGTGAGTAATGTATCAGGCCAGATTCTTTAGAGGCACTTGATATGCAAACACTAAATTTGGAATATGATGCCATAGTTTCATCACTTCTGAACCTTTGTAAAAGACAAAGAATTACTTTGTGTGTGAAAAATGAAGAAATAAGACATGGTAACAGGTTGCCATTATTTTATAGAAGTAAAGTGACTGGCATTAACATGCTGAGAAGTTAGGAGGGCTAATCATGGAGCCAAACTGAATCACTGACTATAATAAATCAACAGACTGCATTGTCAGAAATGATAAAGTAGTGGATTTTAAAGTTTTTGTCTTCTCTCAGTTCAGGCTCTTCTACTGAATAAACAATATATTACAAGTCTGCAACAGAAAAGATAGGTTAGTAATCTCAGTCAAAAATGTTTTAGGAAATACCTCTATGCATTTTTTTCTAATTATAATTATTGTATAATTATACAGGTAAATCCATATGATAGACATGACCTTGCATTACGCGTTGTTTGTTTCAAAATAAGTTACATATATTCTAATTTCTTAATTTATTGTAATTCTTACCCATTGAAATAATAGGTAGCATTTTCTTTTTCTTAATTAAAAACAATGCTTAACAGCTCTGTCATCTCTCATGCTAAGCAGCATGGTAACAACTTTCTAAGACCTTACCAGAACTGTGCTAATTTGGACTTGCACAATAATGATTTTGTTTGTTTTGCAGAAAGAGGTGAGGTCCCTTCCCCCGCCTCCATCTTTTAAAGAAAACTGTTCCTTTCTTCTGAGAAAACTGTATTGGAAAATTGCCTTCAAAAGGTGCAAATCTTACATGGCTAGGCCAATCTCTATTATAAACACAGGAACCAAAAACTATGCATTTGTCCTTTGTTTTACTTTTCCATTCTTTTATTTTTTTCCTGTCCATTTCTTCATTCCTCAGAGGTTCTCTTCCTCTATAGACAAAATACATCTCATATGTTTATCTTTAGATTAATGAAATAATGTTTACATGGGACAAGGACGTGTTTCTTTTTGCTTTTGGTGCATCCTTCAGAACTTACCGTCTCTGAGAGGTTCCTTCCAGTCTCCTCCTATCCATCTCCTCTAGTTTCTTTTTCGTTTTGCCCACTCATGAGTTCATGAGCAGTCAGCATATCTACTCATGGAATTGTCTGGCCTTCTGGTTTATGCTTATTATCTAGAAAAAAAAAGAGGTTTGTGTCATCCCCTCACTTTTTTTAGTGGTACCTCCAGAAAGAATTAGAACTGAAGCTTTCTCAGAACCTGCCTTTACTGCCTGTATGTGAAGCGCTATGTTATGGAAGAGTTTACTGAAAAAGTTCTGTCGGTTTTATTGCTGGACTGTTTGTCAGCAGATGCAAAAAGATCAACCTGCTACCATTTACGTAAGTCCTGGAGATGATCAAGTATGTTTGAAAAGTTGGTGTTGAGTTTCATTAAGATGCCTTCCCTTTGCCGGTGCTCGTTTCAGACACGAATGCTGGTTCTAACTCACTGTGGGTGAGGTTCTGACATTTTGCTAGACGCCTCCACCTCAAACTTTCTATCATCTTGACAGAAGAATCTCATTTGCAGCAAAAGGATAAGAAAGACAAATCTGTGGCTTGACACCTTGTGACATCTTTCTATGGGTGATGAATTTTTGTTACATGTAAGGTTCAAAGTTAGTGAGCAATGGCTGGATGAGTGGCACAGTAACTTCAGGCTTGCTAAAAATCAAAGGATGTGTCAAAAAATATAAAACAAAACAGTGTGACACTTTTAGGGATGGATTATGCTGTATGTGTAAGCAGATGGGCATATATTTTACTTCGTGGATACTTAAGTATTTGGTTTTGACAAAAGTAACTGATATACAGGAAAGCATAAGAATAAATAGCTTTACTGCTTCTAGTCATTCAATATTTTAATCCTCCTTGCAATTACTTTCTTTGGATATGTCTCACCTCTTTCTTGCACTGAGCATAGTATTTTTTTTCCTAATTTTTCTTTTCTTCCCTCATCTTACTTTCACAAACATATTCCTTTTTTTTTTTTTTTTTTTTTTTTTTTGTTTTATTACTAGTGTTTCCCTCTTACTGTGGACTCCTATAACTTTTCTTATTTCTAAATTAATGGTGTGTAGGGGGGAGAGTTTTACAGGTAAAATACGTTATGATTTGCAAGGTACATCTTCGATACAATCATAATTATCTGTATATTCAGACAGAGCCACAAATCTCTGGCTTTGACTGAAATGACATGAAATGAAATCACTCATGCAACCCATTTTCTGACCTCACCACAGGGTAAGATCAGATACCAGGTGGTGACAAACTCAGGTCGGATGCACTGTGCTGCCAAGGAGAATTGGAACCTCTATCTCTAAAATGAAAGTCCTGAGCCAAGCTATGCTCTATGCTGTATTTGAGCTCTTCGGGGTGCTGCAACTGAAGTTGTTCTGCTTTGCATGGGCTGCTTAAACATTCATTTTGCCAGAGAGGAGAATACGACTACAATTCAATGGTGTACAAGGCACAGTTTTAGGTCTGAACAGAGGAAAAAGTAAGCTGTTTCTGTTCCACTCCCAAGCTTTTAGGGCCTGGTTCACTAAAGCCTCTTACCAATGATTAACTTAAGTTAACTTTAATGATTAACTTAAGATCAGTCAGGAAACCACTGAAAGCAAGAGTTTTAATGGAGAAAGATGCAATAAACTTTTTTTTTAGGTAAATACCCATCATTATTTTTTTTTGTTTTCTTCCTCTCCTGGAGAAATATTGATGCTACAGGAAAATTAAACCACCAAAGTGCTATAACAATGAACTATAGGTCTCTCTGTGATCTTTTTGAATTGGGAAAAGATTTTATTGACATTTCTAGGTGAGACAGCCCATGTTTAATTGGGTTTTGGTAGCATTGGTTAATTGAAAAACTGTTCCCTTGTGACAAGACCTTGTAGAGACCTAAAAGAGTATAGAAAATCATGAATTAATAACAGTTAGCCCAGAGATCATTTTAAAATCTATGTGTGTGTATATATATATATATATATACACACACGTATATTTATCCTTTAATGTCTGTTTTGGAGCTCTGCTAACTTACCTTTTAAAGGAGAATAATGATATATTTGAGTTGCATCCCATTTTGTCAGATACTATCTTGCTCAGATACAGGCACCCTAAATGCAAACCGGTCATTTGGCATGGTACCTGATTCCAGATAGCTTTGTTGGCAATACAAGATCTGATCTTTAAATCAAGCACTATGTTAATTTTATTTTCTGCCTGCCTTACTGGAAACAAATTTCCCTAAAATGTCTGAAAGTTCTGTCTCTAAAAGCCAAATTTGCTATGTGAGATAAATAATAGATATTATTCATTTTTTTCTTGATTTTTTTGTTTCTTTTTTTGTCAAAGATGCTACAGTCCACAGGTTGTATTGTCTAAAATTCCCATCCTTCTACCCTGCAAAACTACAGGAAGCTTTCTGTTGTTGTTTGTTTTTTGCCTTCTGTAGTGGTCTTGCTTTTCTAGGACTGCAGCAGTGAAGATGAGCAAAGGTTAGTGATTTGCCCATCATCTCAATCGACTTTTATAGTAATGGAGCTGTTATCACTGATAACTCCTGGTGTCTCAGCATCTCTTCTTCCTTCACTTTCTTTTGGGTGGCTGCAGTAGTAGGTGGCTACCGATCTCCCGTGGCTCTTGGGACCCTTCTTTGCTAGTGTTGGTTTGCTGTGTCTGGTTGTGTCCCTTTTTCAGTCTCCCTGGATAGCCATGTTCCTCCCACGTGCCTGCTTGGCAGCTTCACTTAGCCACAAGCATATATGCATGGCGAGAGCCTTTCTGAAAATGTGACCTACAGCACGGGGAAAGGAGGGGAAATGTTGTCAGTATGTCTCCTTTCTCCTCTTTCACTCTAGAATTGCAGGAGAGTTGACTTGCAGAGAATTGTTGTGTTGGCTTGAGATGACTTGCTTCTAACTGAAGGCTGTGCATATGGAAAGACCAGGACTCCGTGTTTCCCAGATGTGTGTCTGTGCTGCTGTAAGGACATGCTTTTTCATTGGACTGCAATGTAAACTTTGACTCCTGCTTTCTGGAAACAGTGTGGCACAACGAATCAGTAGCACTTCAGGTTGTTTATACTGTGTTTTCAGATATTTATACTTGAAGTATTAAGGATGATTGTAATACTCCACTTGGGAATATGCATTACAACAGTAGTGACATCATTTGCATCAATATTTGCTATACAGTGGTAACCATTAGGAAACAATATGTGACATAAAGGGCATAACCACAAATAAATAGTGGGAGTAAGAAAAGGAATAAAAAATTAATGGTCACTTTTTGAATATCTATTGTGCAGGATATAATTTGACTTTAAGATATTAAATCATAATTTTCAGTGTCAGTTTTATAGGAAAATGTAATTGGATCTGTGTTTATTTTGACTGAATGCAAAAATTCAGCTAAGTTCAAAGGCCATTTTATCTGACTATCTACAGAAAATCACAGTTATTGTGACTAATAGTATCATTCTGCAATGAGAAAAATCATGACGCAGTCTGAAAAAAAAAGACATAACCTTGCTATGGCATTTCGACTTTTAAGTATGTTGGTTTTCAGCAGTGCTTCTTGTAGATGCATCATGTGATGTTTGACATGAGTGTTCTTTTTTGTTCAGTGGAAGTTGATCTGATGCAAGATAGACTTAAAGCTAACTACCTTATTTCTCAGCAAATATATTTTGATCATCTTTTTATTTTCATGGAGTAATGGCTTAATATATGATATTAGATATTTTGCATTCCTCTTATGCACAGAAGAGTTGATGGCAGCAAAGAGGCTGAAGTCAAAAAGATGTTTATATTGTCTAGGCAGTTCCTAACTCTGTTATAACAGACCCAGAATGCTCTGATAGTTTTTCTTTTAGAAAAACTTTAGATAGTTTTTCTTTTAGTTTTTCTTTTTTAATCTGATAGATTTTCTTTTTCTTACATAATAGTCTTTTTAATCTTTTACTCTATAATGCTTTACTTCAGTCATCTGGGGTGATCCTCAACTTTGTTCATACTAGTACCTTTTCAAATATCTGTAGACAGCTGTTCCCTGTTGGTTATTGAGCTAAGCTGATCTTCATTTCTGACTACATTTCCAACTTTTGTCTTCTCTCTTGAGATTTTCCTTCATTTTCTCTTTTCTGAAATCTAAAAAAAGAAAAATAAAAAGATGATCTGCTTAGTTAATGCAATAACATAATTGTACTTCAGTGTTCAGTGTAGAGGTGTAGGGGTTAGAAGTTTTTTTGAAAAATGTGGCAGGTAGGCCCAACATCAATTTTTCCATGGTGCTCACTCTAATTTTTAGAAGAGTTTGATAGTTAGGTCTAATTACATTTTTTTCCACGGTGATGAGACAATACTGAAAATTCATAAGTGTCTTATACTAAAGGCTATAATGTTGCCTTAATCATTACATTACAGCAAATCACAGGTTATTTTGTCTTGCAAGACTCCAACATTAGCCAAATTCTCTTGCTGCCCTAAACGAGATACTTAAACAGTTATTTGTCAATGGAATGATAATGCTCTGAATAATGCATAGAAATAGAGAATGTTACCAACCGCACTCAACAACAGTTTTTTGGCTGATGGGTGTTGCAGGTGCTGGAAGGAGCTCATATTGATGCTATCAGTAGCACATTATTGCTATCAAAAATGAGCTCCCTTACCTGTGAAGAAAGGAAGATGAAGAAACATGAGCAAAAATACATTTTTCAGAACATATTAAGACTCGGGATGTGCTAGACTGTAACTGCCCTCTTTCCACCAGCTCTTTCCTTTTCTTCTCTTCACTTAGAAAACTATTAGCAATTTTCTAATAATACAAGGGCTAGTTGTAGGTGTTGTACAAGGGCTCTGTGGGATGAATGCATTACAGATAAAAACCCTCATCACACTCCTCAAATTCCACATTTTCACCTGCTCATGTGGTATTCACCTGCAGCTTGTAAACAATGTGTTTCTTTGTTGTATGAAGGAGACTCAGATACAGCATGAGCCTGGCAAAATTAGCTTTCCCTTTACCTCAATTTTAGATCATGGTGCTTTAGAAAATGTGAGAGAGGAAAGCATTAACGGGTCATATTTAAAAAGGAGAGAAAAGAAGAGAAAGCTAACAAGGACTTGCAGATGAGAAGAGGGTAGAGGAATATAAATGAATAAGAACTGAAGAAAAACCTGTCAGAACTTGTAAGTTATAGTGAATGTATTGCATCCACCCTTAAACTGGATACTGTTCAATTTATTTTGTAGTCTAGGAGACTAATACTTATCTCCTGAACAAAAAGATATGGGGATCTGGACAGTTAAATAAAGAAATTTTCACGTAGATTGACTCAGTATTTAAAACTGCAATATGTAGCATCAATTCTATCACAAATATTTATTAAAGATGTACTTATTGTTCATCAGACTTGAGCTATGCACTTTGGGAAGAATTTAGCTTAGCATAGAGCATATAGACTATATGCTACATCCTACATACAGGTTTATCCTGTTATGCTATCCACAACAGGATAAACTGGTATGTTATTACAGACTACACACTAGAATTATCTGAAGTAATTTTTCAACACTTCAGTAGGAATTTTTTCCATCAAAACTAATTTTTTTTAAACAAAAGTTTTAGAAACTTTGAAATGAAGATAACCAGTGAAATGAAGACTAGACACAAGTCAAAGGATATGACTTTGCCCTATGAAATACATATGGAGAGATATTTGTTTGTCTAAAATTGAAGTATTTCTGAAATTTTGTTAACTGCGGACTTGGAAAAATCACCTAAAAATTACTACTGCAGGTGATAGAAAAAAAAAAAAAGAACTACCTCATATTAAAAAGATATATTTCTGATTTTTGTAATTATTTAAAAAAAAAAAAAAAAGCTGAGTTAGTATGACATTTGTCTCATTGTCCACCCATCGAAATCGAGCTAAGCTTCATGAATAAAAACTGAATAGACGGCAGTACAAACTTTACTGTCATGTAGCTTGCTTATACCTGTATTACCCTCCTTTCTCTTATGTTCTAAATGTTTCTATGTCACAGATTTATTTGGAAGCTATTATTGCTTTCATTTCTGTCAACACAGTGGAAGTGGGAGAGTGCTAGAAAATCCAATGAATAACTACAGTGCATGGTTTGGTTCTAAAAAGATGTTTGAGCTATCATATACTGGCTATATGATAAGTATATGATGGATACTCATAAAGAAACAAAACTGTCATAAAGAAACAAAACTGTTTTAAATTTTATGAAAGTGGGGGAAGGGAGGTGGAATTCTGTGTCATTTGTATTGTAGGTGACCAGATTTGTCAATCAACTGTAAAGACAACCTATTCCAGTCTGATTTTAGTTGTTACTTTAGCTTGAAATTAACAACCTATGTAATAGAATAACTCCTTTTCTAAATAAATATGATGCTGTTATTACAATGCCATTTCAGTTCACTTGTATCAAAGTGATACACTTGATAGCTTTCACATTCAACATTCACATGATGTTAACAACATTCAACTGGATGAAGGATTTCTAAGTGAGCTTTTCCTCTCAAATTTATATTTCCAGTTATAACTGTCCAGAGGAAGAAATATCATATTTTCAATATGATATTTTGATATTATTTGGTATTTTTATCTATCCATATGTTTTAGGATCATTCATTTATTTGATTGTGCTTCTCAGTTAGGTGACAGAAGGACCAGTCAAGCAAGGTGCATGGTTTTGCTGTTGAAATCCCTTTGAACAAGGGATTCAAAGTTGAATAAAAGAAGTAACAATAGAGTCTGAAACTAGGAGAGGAAAGATTTAGAAATTAAGTTGACTAGTGAGCTAAACAACAAGTTTTATATAACTATCAGAACAAAACCTGTAAACATTTCCATGGCCAACTTGATCAGAAAAAAAAAAAAAAAAAAAAGATGGACATTTTGCCTGTGGAGTCAAACATAGATATATGTCTAGATGTATTTCTTAGTTTCCTGTCTCTCTGCCAATAAAACAAATTCATCAGGGTTTATGAAAGGTTAGAACTTTTAAGAACCAGCAGTGTCTTCAGGAATATCTCACTCAACTGTTCAGTATGCAGAAGATCAAGGAAAATAATCCCAGCAGTCATATTCACTATCCAAATCTAGGTTATGTTTCCAGCTATTTCTCAGTGCTGTTCCAATGTCTTTTTTCTTTTTTTCTCTCCTTTCTTTTTTCTTTCTACCTAACCTCATTTGGAGCAATAAACTGTAACTCACCAGGTAATGAGTCAGTGAACCCAGGGTTGAAGATCTGATCAAGAAACTCTTGAGGATTTATGGCATAGTATAGAGGTTTCCCTTGATGCTTTTCAGAATGTGCTGAAGCTATATCCAGAATATTTGGGGGGAATGAATTCAGGAAATAAGCTAAGATTGACTTAGATCTAGTACCCATATGGCTAGCCTTTTTCTCAGACCTCTGCCTATACTGTAGGCTGAATTCAAACTGTTCCATGACAGTGTTGACGCTTCTTGGAAGACCTTGTCTGCCTTGTACTGTCCACATGATGTCACAAAGGGCATCTGAGATATATGGTCATGGCCAGGGCAAGTGTGGCTTTTCCACAGGTAGGTCTTGGAGATCTACAAGGAGAAGTCACAGATCCAGAGCCTCCAGATGCCTTTCTCAAGCTTGCAAAAGCATGGGGGATTGCATCCTGGCAGTGCAGACGAATGGCAACTGTAAGACTAAGTCTGCATTCAAATATAGAGATAGTCAAAATAGAGCCTTTATCCAGTGATGATAAAGCACCATTACTGTAGAATGGCACTTTAATATCGATGCAATATTAATATCTGTAAATAGCTGATCTCTGCATGTCCATTAATATATATTACTGAAGCCCATGCTATCTGGGCCAAATATTCATTCAAATCAGAGGCAGTTATAACTTAATCACTGCCATCCTCTCCCAGCTGCAGTAAACTATGGTTAATGAGTCAGGATGTCCAGTATGCATAGAGAAAAGTGAAGAGGGTTCCATAATGATTATACTGAATCCTTTTTTTTTGCATCTGAGTACAACAACAGTTTGTGTTTTCCTTTTGGTCAAACTTGATAGTTGTAAGAAATGGTATT